GATGGGCCAGGGGCAGATTTATTGCTTGTTTTGCTGATGATGGTTTGGATCTCCTCCTGAGTAAAGGGCTGGATGGTGGGGTCATACCAGCTAGCTTTGATGTCCTCCTTGGACTAATATTCTGTGTTCCAGATGGTGCTTTCGATGTTTTTGATATCACGTTGGTGTGTCCAGTCTTTGAAATGTTGTCAGATTGTTTGTTTTATCTGCATAAGGTCTGTAATAACTGTTTTCTCATCTTGGATTTCTTTGATAAGTCTATTGGTTATGATGCTTTGCTTGGATTAATTGAGTAGGAATCTGATCATTTGCTTTTTATTTGTGTCAAATTAGTTCTGGCGTCTGGATCTTGCCTTTTGAATGTTATTTCTGATTCGTTGATCGATGGATTTTTTGTGCTTGAGTTTTTCGATGTCAATCCATTGCTTGATTTCTTTGATGGTTGAGTCAAGGTTGTCCCTTTCCTTAATGGTTAGGGAAGGGATCTATTCTTAAATACTTTTAGTTAGGGATGATAGGGTGGATGGGTTGAACTTTGGATTGTGATTCTTTAGATGTTTGAGTTGGTGCCTAGCTTCTGCTAGTTAACGCAGAAGTATAGGTCTTATTAAAGGAATGTTTTTTGTTCTTTTCTTTTTTCTTTCTTTGTATTTTGTGATATAGCTATTTGCTGCTACTAGAATCCAGTTACGGAGGGTGGTCCAGAGTTTGTTGGTATCTGCGTCCTCATTCATCATTTGGTTTCAGGTGGGCATGTGTGAGTCCATGGATTCTGCGAACTTTTTTCAGGACTGTTCCGATGTTGCTGTCCAGTTGAATCTGGTTGCATTTGTGGGGTAATGGAAACGTTTGGTAGGAGTTTGGAGTTGCCATGTTTCCATGTGCATTGAGACTGCCCTATGGTCTGTGGCTATGTTTTGTTCTGTGATGTATGCATCTATGGGGCACCAGGTTGGACATGAGGAGATTCAGATTGCATCTATTCTACTTTTTGGAAAGTTGGCTGTCCATTTAGTGGACCATGTATATTCTTTGGAGTGTGGGTAGAGGTAGCGGTATGTGTCTATCCTGTCCATTGTAGTAAGTTTGTCAAAGAAGGGTTCAATTTTGTTTGAGTGATGTCTTCTTGTAGGGCTGTACTTGTCTTTGTGACAGTTTGGGTATGCATTAAAATCACCGGCTAGGATTATGTGCCAGTTCTCATTGTTTTTTTTTGCAATCAGGTTGGTTATTGTTTGCATTAGTCTTCTCTTTTGCTGGTTGGGTGTGGCAGGTAGATACGTTTCTATGATTCATATGTATCTCTTTTTCGGGAAGGCTAGATCGATGCACAGAATTCTGCCTTCGTATCTGTTGATGTTAATGACTTTGTCTCTGAGGTTGTATTGAATTGTGATACCGATGCCAGTGCCATGGCCTTTGTCTTCCTACCAGGTAGTGTATGCATTTGCTTTCCAGGGTTGTTCATCATTGTTCTGGTTTGTTTCAGTTGAAATTATGATGTCCCATTGTTGTTGTGTCCATGTCTCTCCCATATGGAGTGTTTTGTTTCATCTTTGAGTCCTTGACAGTTAAGAGTTGTAATAATGAGATAAGGTTTGTCTGTGTAGTTGGAGTTGTTGTATGGTTGTGCTGGATTTGTTGGTTCTAAGTGTTGTGTGGAGATTTGTGTTGGTGTGGATGGGGTTGATATAGGTGTGTCTTGTGAATGGGTGTCTAAAGAATTATTGGGAGTGGTGTGAGTTGAGTTCTTGTTCGATTGCTCATAGGTTGCTTCTGGGTTCTCAGAGTTACTTTGGTTGTTTCGCATTATTGTGAGGTGAATGGGTGGGTGGAATTGTTTGGGATTAAGGTGGAGATTGCATTCATGATGGTGTTCATATTTCGGTCCATTTTATTAATAGAGGAGTGGAGTTGATGTTGTGTCTCTTGTATGTCTTGATTTTGGTTTGGGGATGATGGTCGTGTAGAGTTTGAGGGTGAAGGTGTCTTGAGATCTGTTTTCATGTTGCCTACGCCATCTTTATCATAGTATTCAAGGTTGGTGATACATTTGTCGAGATCTAAGATGGTTTCCTTGATTTCAGTAATTTCTTCCTTGATCGTATTGAGGGTTTGTAAGATGCTGGAAAGGAGGTCTTGTTCTTGGTTACTTTGCGGTTGGTGGTAGTGGTGGGATCAGAAAGCTGTAGCATATGATCCATGAGCTTTTGTCTTTGAGGTAGCTGGGGTGTGTTGACAGATATTTCTGGTACCCATGGGCTGGAATTTGTTGTATAGTTTGCTGAATCTTTCAG